CTTTCAGGTAGGAGAGCTCCGTTAAACATTTCTTGTAAGGCAGTTCTAGTGGTGATGATCTCCCTCAGTTTTTGTTTTTCTGGGAAACATTGATTCTCCATCATATCTGAGGGATAATTTCACAGGATAGAGTATATTTGCTGACAGTTTTTGTCTTTCAAGATTTTGAATATAACATTCTACTCTCTCCTAGCCTGTAAATTTTCTGCTGAGTAGTCTGCTGAAAGCCTGATTGGAGTGCCTTTTTACTTTATATTCTTCTCTCTTGCTGCCCTTAATATGTTTTTCCTTGTCATTGACTTTTGACAGTCTTCACATTACATGCTTTGGAGAAGGTCTTTCTGCATTGAGGCAAGTAGGAGTTCTATTAGCTTCATGTAATTGCACGTCCAGTTCTTTCCCCAGGTTTGGGAAGTTCTCAGCTATTATTTCTTTCAACAAGCTCTCTGCTCCTTTCTCCCTCTCCTCTCCTTCTGGGATACCTGTAATCCTGATGTTACTTTTCCTAATTGAGTTGGATATTTCTTAGAAGATTTCATTTGTTTTTTAATCTTAGTTCTCTCTCCTCTGCCTGAATTATTTCTAGATTTCTGTCTTCCAGCTTACTAATTCTCTCTTCCATATATTCTGTTTTATTTTTAATGCTTTCTTTCTTATTTTTCATCTCATTGAGTTCTTCATCTCCTAATTTCTATTTGTTTTGCTTTTTTGTTACAGTTTCAATTGCTTTGGTGAAGTACTCCCTCTGTTCATTAATTTTATTCCTGAGCTTATTGAACTCTCTGAGTTTTCTTGTAACAGACTGAGTTTCTCTATGACATCTATTTTGAATTCTCTGTCAGTTGGATTGTAGACCTCTGTGACTTCAAGTTTGATTTTTGGAAAATTGTCATTCTCTTTCTGTTTTTCTATATTACAGTAGGGCTTCATGGTATTTGATGAATTGATTCTCTGCTGGTGTGTTTCTGGTAGTAATCACCTTTCTTATTTGGGTACAGCTTTGGTTACTTTGATTCTGAGCTTATTCTGCTCACATTTGAAAGCTTGCACTTTACACCCTCCACTGCCTGTGCTAGAGGTGTCATGGGTGTGCTTTCTGTGCCACTTATGCCTCTGAGGTTACTGATGCCTTACTGCTAATAATGTTGCTGATGTCTCAGGTGTCACCACTGGGGTCTGAAAGCACTTATGCTGCTTCATGGGTAAAGTGTGTTTCATGGTACTCCACTGGCTGTGTGTGGGCTCTCCATGAGCTCAGATGCTGCTGTGCCATGCACCATCCATGCTGCTGCTCCTGGGTTTTCTGGAGGTGCTTGTTGTACCACTGCCAGGGGTGCTGGATTCATGGGTGTGGCTGTCACAGTTGGGGCATGGGGCCCTTGTGGCTTCTATGCAGCCTCCACTGCTACTGAGCTATTGGTATCTGGGTGACCAGTTCTTCTACAGTTCCTGAAGCCTCTGGTCACAGGTTCCACCTGCCACTGCTTTGAAGGAGCAGTATTTATGCAGGGAGAGGTTGTTGTTGCTGGTTTCTGTGTAACCTCTGGTCTTTGGTGCTAGCAAGTGTATTTTAAAAACTCAGGTCAGCGTCCCCCATCCCAGCCAGGCATATCTGAGTTTTATATATTATCACAGCTATTGGAAAGATATGGCCCCTTCCAGGGGTGAAGGAGAGGCAGTGTGTGCTGGATCCACTGGGATATGAGCAGGGAGCAAGACACATGCATTTTTTCTCCTGCTCCTGTTGCAGTTGCTCATATTTGTGCAAGCCACAGTGCCTGTTGTTTCCACTCCACTGACAGTCACATGGGCCACTGTAATTTCAACTCCTGCAATGACTGTTTACAGGCAATCATATATCATTGAGTGCAGATCATGTGTCTCTATTCCAATAAGGATCAGGTCCTCAGGGTTTAGAAATTTCTGATCACCAACCAGTTATGGCTATAGATACTACTGCCTGCTCATTGTCCATGGATGAACCTGCAGGGTGAAACCTACTTATTCCCTGAGATTCTCCTGAACTCCCACAAAATTCTCATTGTGGACACCCATCTCCAAAATTCATGGCCCAACACAATCCTAAGGTCCCAGAAATACAAGATGAAGTAATTTCCATTCAGAGAAATTGTTCATGAGAGAACCCATATTTGATGCCCAATGAACTTTTTGAATCCAGAATTCCTTCTCAGGACATTTTGTGAGAAGAAACTACTTACAGGCTTCATACTCTTATGAGGAAAGGTCTTCATTTGGGGGCAGGAGATGCTGTTAAATAAAGGATGTTTCTAATTTTTCTGCTGTGTTTGCTAACTCAACTGCTTTTCTCTTTAACTTGTTTCACAACTTGAACTTGTTTCCTTAATGGGTTATAGCTTCAGTCATTGTAGCAATAAAGTTACAGGAAAGTAGAGGTCAAAGGGAATATGGATAAGAATCAATCTCCCCCGTGCCTATGGATGAGACTTTGAGGGTGGGGGGGTGTGTGTGTGTGTGTGTGTAAACAGACTGGATGCATCTAACCTGGAATGGAGAATTGAAGAATTTCTTGTGTAACAGGGATCAGAGAAGACACTATTTAGCCAAGTATCCCATTATTTCTATTTCTCTCAGCTCATAGGTAGGTTAGGAAAGAGCTGGAAATGAAAATACCAAAACACACAGGGACACCATCATGTGCTGCATGAAAATGCACTGCAGCAACATTTGCTCTGCTGTCTCACTGAAGAAGAACAGGCTTTACTTCATTCCTGAGAACTATTGTAGGCTTTCAGCTAGCTGCAAAAGGTGAGGCTGACCAGGAAAGGAAACACCAACCTACACCATTGCTGAGGGAGCCCATGACCAAACGCCTGACCCCTACTCTATCACTCTAAGTTGTGATGCGAACCAGCAACCTGAAGAATGGAGATTGATCTGGGAAAACCAAGAAAAAGTTTACAATTGAGAGAGAATTACCATGGAAATAGAAAAGAATGTAAAATCAACTTAGTACATTCATTTAGATTAAAGAGGCTGTTCCAAAAATTAAAATAAAAAACAGACTAAAAAGCCTTGAAGAAGATAAAACTTCCTTCTATTATGAGGAAATATTTATTATGTGCACTTACAGTATTCTTAAGTATAGTCAGTGCCACATAATGACATTTCAGTCAACAATGAACCTCACAAACGATGCTAGTCCCAGGAGATTAGTACCTTATAGACTAGGTGTGTTGTAAGCTATGACATTTGCATAGGTGGTATTTTCTATATGTTCAGAAAGATGGAATCACCTAATGATGCATTCAGAAAGTATCCCTGTCATTAATTGATGCACTGCTCTATAGAGAAAATGTTTACAGTAGATCTCTAGAACTTATTTATCTTACCTAACTGAAATTTTGTATCTGTTTAACAGAAACTCTTCAAAAATTTCTTAAGACATTAGATCTCATGTTAAATGTCCTTACTACAATTTTAAAAAGATTGTTTAATTGATATCAGACTATTAAATAGCAAAGTCAAAAAGAATGTTTATGGCAAAAAATAGAATTGTGTACTCGGATAACTATCTGTAAGTTGAAATAAACACATATGATGATATAAGGAAATACAAATTTCTTATTTAAATGATGAAATTAAGAAATGAGATCTGTGATTATTTAATCAAGTTATTCTATTTCAAAGCAAAGCAAAGATGCTAATATTTAAAGTAGATTAATATACATTCTGAACACTACTTCAAATCACAGAAAAAAATTGATCAACACCAATCTTGATCAGTGCTCATATGCTAGGTAATGAGAAATTTATTACAAATATTTCATTATTAATTCTCATAATATCCCTATCAAGTAAGTCTTACTATAGTTATTTCTGATGATAAACTGAATCCAATTAAATTTAACTTAATAAGGGCCAGTAATTAGCAACATCACTAGATAACAAAGTTCTATCTGACTTCAAAGTCCAGGCTATTAAGTATCCACAGTGTTCACCCTCTATATCATGTCAACTGCAAGAGAACCCTGGTCATGGAGTAATTCATCCTGGTTTTAGTCATTACCATGACTTGTTCCTGCTTCATTAAAGGCTATATAGATTGAGCATATCAACCTCTATTTCACAGCACCCAAGATTTTCCCATGATGCTCTCAGCTGCTTCTGCAGATCAGCATTTCTTGGGTTCTTACTCTTACCCCACATCCTAGAGACTCTGGCTCCTACTTAGGGATGTACTGCAGAGAGGGGCACCCCTGCTGGAGAAACACAGAACTAATTCTAATCCAGCCTTCTCCACTTATTAGCCATGGACACTCAGGAATATCTCATAACTTATATATTCTTTTAACCACCTGATAGGATTTCCTCCTTCTTATGACATTTTTGAAGATTAACTGGGATAAAAATCCCCTATTTATATACATTTATACACATAATTATATATGTGTGTGGGGGTGTGAGTGTAAGTATGCATGTGTATGTATATAGCATTCCCTGCCCAGGTACTTTCTATTGTCACCTCCCTGTATCTTTATGAATGCTCTCTGCATCAGGCTGCCCTAGTTTATAATACATACTTCTCTAGGAAAATTTGTGCCTTTGCTATCCTGGGTAAGTCTATCCCTCATCCTGAATTTGAAACCGGTTAAAAAAGAAAAGAAAAGTACATAATATTACATGTATGGTATATACTCAACTGTTTTACCAGAAGGAAAAGGCCTGAACACCAGAAGCCTGCCCCTTATAGGAGTAGCTGTTCCTAGAAATGGCTCCCTCTGCTGAACATATTTTGGAAACATACTTTTGCAGTATTCTAACTGATTAATAATAAAGGAGCTTAAAAACAATCCCAGCCTTAGCATAAAAAGTTCTATGGAAGAATACCGGAACTGGAGTAGTCTTGACAGTGGAGTCTGGGAAGTTAGGAAATGAGACTTCAGTAGAATCCATTATTCTTCCTCTAAAGGGCACAAACATGTTGCACAGGACATTAACAAAGCTTGCATTTTTCAGTAATTATGAGAGAAAATATTTATTATAATTTACAGGACACTTAGCTGCTTTACATTGAGTGACACTTAGTTTTTCACAAGGATTTAAGAGTTAAGTGTAGTTTTAAATCTGAAATTGTATTTTAGGAAAAGGGAACCAGAATTTATTCATCATTACACATCTTTAAAAGAAGAGATAGGATAGGAACTCAAACACTCTGTACACAAAATCTTCACTTTCGGTACATATATGGCTTATGTTTTCCTTTATTTGACTTTCTGATGAACCTAGTATATCCTAGGCAACAAATAAACATGCACCCAAAGACTCCTTAGTTGTTTTTGGTATGTGGAGGGTGATTACGGACTGTCCTAGGTAATGTGCATGGTGGCAGACAGGCTTTGCAAAGTCTCTTCAGATCAATGATAAAGGAAAATATGAAGAAATGGGATGGCAAATGTTATATCAATACTGCTCTGCCTTTAGGAGGAATTATATGCCTTTCTTTGAGAACACAAACAATGGTAAATGAGCATCTCTCATAATGTGAACCAGATACACTGTACAGCCCAAGGATGTGTAAAAGTTTTAAAGCAAAGAAGGGATACGTCAGGAAGAGATGGTGTGAATGGTGCAGATGAGCTCACATATAGAGATGAAACCCAGGACAACGGACACAAGAAATGGGTGAGGGAAGAAGGCGGCTCAGGAGCTTGGTGGACACAGTGTCATGGGAGCTGGACAGTTCCAAGGATTGAAATATGGATAAGAAGGATCAGAAAAGCGACACTTAGAGAACTTGTAGATGAGTGACCCATGGTTTGTGACATTGAAAAATGAGACAGTGCCTCCTTCACAGTCTAGGAAAACCCCAACACGATGGGGAGGAACAGCCATGGAAATAGTCAAGACCTTTGGATCAGAGGTGGAAGAGTCCTCAAAGGCATTATACTCTGATTCATTCTGTAACCCTACAACCCAGTAGCCATGTTGAGGTGTGTATCTGGAATAAACATTTGGATGATTTAGATTTGATTCAAAAGCAAACCCAGAACTCTTTTGTCTATTGAATTTCCGTTTGTTACTGCATACCCCCAGGATCCAAGCAGTCTTCCCAGACACATCTACTTCCCAATAATATTTCCCTGAAGAGAAACTTTGACAGCCCAAGATATCAAAAGCAGACAAATCACATGGAAATATATTCCCAAACATAAAAGGGTGCACAACTCTCACTTGTCTCTGATCCGCAGATACAATGATACTTGAAATAGCGTTGATTGGATTCAGCATCACATCAACTGTAGGAAAAATCACAGGGTCGTTAGGAATGTAGAGTACTTGTGTCTTGTGACATTGTGAGGAGGAATATTGGGAACTGACTGGCAAGAACTTGTGTTGATGAGTCAGAGATGAGTAGGACACTTTAGAACCGTTCTATTACGTATGTTTGGAGAAGAACATGAAGCTAAGGTCATGGGGCCCAATAGTTACTACATCTTCTGAAAAGGGATCAGAACATGGAGAATTGAAGACCCTGGAACTTCTTACCCCAGTAGCATTGGATCTCTGTCAGATCTGAAATGACAAAAGTTGCAATGATGTTGTTAGAAGCAAAGGAGTAAACACTGACACCTGTCTTCTCTCTAGAGTGGGGTCAGGGGAGGGGAGCCCTATAAGGCTATGGACTGGTGAATGAGAGGATAAAGCAGACACCTGGCCACTCCTCCTTAGATCTGATCATCTTCAGACAGGATCTCTCTCTCCTTGCCGGGCCTACCTCTTCCCTTTTACCCTAATCTAGAAATAACATCCACTCTCCCATTTTGCCCTGATAGTACAAGAACTCCACACTCACACACTTCTCCTGGCTCTCCTCACCTTTAAACACTTTCAGCATACCACTTAGATCTGGAACTCTGAATGCACGCTTCAGTTTCTTGGAAACCATTTTTGGCTTTTTCAAGGTCCAGGTCTCACTCCTAGAGAAGACAACAATTGATCGTCATACACTTCTGACCTTATGCTTCTCCAAGACCACCTCACCTATCACTCCATTGATGCACTTAAATTCTCTTCACTGAGGAGCTTGAAGAGAGGGGAGAGGAGAGCCCTGACACTTCAACCAGAAGAAATATGCTCATGTCTACCTTTCTATTTACTCTCGGTGTGATCTTAGGAAGGTCTTCCCCTCAAAGAAACTCCAGATTCTTCCTTCTAAAATGGAAAAGTTAACCCCATCCTTTCTACCTGTTAAAAATAATATAAAACTAGATGAAATAATGGTGCCTTTAAAAGGTATTTGATGTTTCTAAAAGAAGTATTTGATACAAAAATAAGTCACTGTCATCTCAGTGGTTCTACCAGGGGAAGGCCAGAAATGTGAGGTCCTAGGCAGATGGTCAGTAGAGAGTCTCCAGAACCTGGCTACCAAGGGGTTTAGGTTATCAAGTGTGGCTCTCCTGTGTTAAAAGTTTGAAGAGTCTCAAAAGCCTGTTATCCCAGTACAGATGCCCAGAGATTAACATTTGAGGGGACATTCTCTTGGGAAATATTAGAAACATTTGGAAAAGAAGAAGTTATGATGACCAAATTATTGGTGGCCTGAATTTTATGTGTTTTGGAAGACCTTGGTAATGCCAGGTATGTAGTCAACTTTAGACACAGGAAAACCATTTTTGCCATGAGATGCTAAAGTGTTCAAGAAGGGATTCATTATTGGTACCAGGACCAAACCCACTATTCCCCAAGACTTGTCTATTTTCTGGAAATATGAAGAAAACCACCCTCAAAGATCTTGTTTTTTCCATTCTCAAGAAGAAAAGTAAATTCCCTTCTGGCATATTTGGGGACCTGGTAGATAAAGTGGACAAATTCCTTCTCGTGATAAGATACACACCTAAGAAATATAGAAACAAGAGCTGAGGCAGAGACAGATTGACTAAAATGAGTGAAGTCATAGAGTTCTGATATAGCAACACCTCATTTCTAATGCTTCTATTTGCCCTAATTCTGTGACCACCCACCACCCAAATTTCCTACCATTGACAACTGTGATCTGTGATCAGCAGTTTGAAACAATATCATACCCAAATTTCCCAGCTCTGTGATTTCTTTTTGAATTGTGATTAATCTCATGATAAAACTCATGACTACAGTTCTGCCTTCACACAAAAATGGACCATACCTGGTCTTACATACATACCTTCTTATGAGGTTGTTCACATCCTGGGGAGAAGAGAGACAACATGAGCTAAGCATAGAATTGTTAGATTTACAAAATAAAAATGGCTACTTAAATTTTAATTTTGGAAAAATAACAATATGCTTTAGTATAAGCATGACCTCTGCAAAATATGATATCCTTTTACTAAGAGATGATGTGTCATTTATCTGAAATTCAAATTTAACTATACATTCCATATTTTTCCTAGCAACCTTGAAGGATGTGAAGCCCTCCTACCTTACAAAGTTTTACCCAACTTTCTCCTCACATCCCTAGCACTCTTTGATTTGTTGAATAAATTGATGGTCAGAATATGGGGGATGAAATGTAGAGATGAGACCCAGACCAACCATCCTTGAGGACTCATGTGAGGATGTTAGAAAGATGCTTGAAGTATGTGAAGATGGGATATATTTAATAGGAAGAGGTCTATTATTGTTTTAACTACATTTATGAGTAGACTTTATTAATTCATTATGCTTTTATTTATTCTAGAGACAAATAAGGTGAAATATACTATTTGCCAGACATCATTCCAGGCTCTGGGGAATCAAAGATGAATAATTCATAATAGTCCTCAAGAAGTATATATTGTGTTGCTGCAGGTACAAAAAATAAGCACTTTGTGTAAATGTTTCTCTGGCTGCCCTCTACTTACTGTATACTCCTCCTACATACTGCCTATAGGTGATCTCATCAGATATTAAGTATGAAATAAGCCACAGGAACCAGCACCTAAAAAAGTTTAAAATGTAACCTATTATTTGCGAACTATTTACATGCCATTGTCTAGAATCTTACTAATTTCCCTTTGATCACTGTCTTAGTAACTACAGTATCTTACCCTAAATTCCAAATTGTACAATCCATATCCTCAACTTCTTTTAGCCATCTTCTTTTCCCTATCATAACCATTACATACTTTATTTTTTTGAACAGAAATGTGCCAATATATTTGGTATTCTCTTCTCCACCCTCATTCCTTGTACACCACAGACTTGACTACTAGTTGACTCTACATCCTCAGGAAAAGTTTTATTTTCTGTAGTAGGCTTTTTAAAGTATTATTATTATTATTGTATATGACAAAAATCCAACTAAAACTGACTTAAATTTAAAAGAAAGAAGAAGAAATTGAGGGGGCAAGTAGAACTTCAGTCATAGCTACATATTTAAGTGAAAATGTTGTCATCAGAATCTGTTCTTTTTTCTCAAAATTTTATTTTCTATCTGCTACATTGACTTTCTTTTCAGATTTTATATGGCATCAACTTGAATGTCTTGGTTTAAATGGTAAACTCTGGTATTTTACCCCACAGAAAAAAGAATTTCTCTTTCTAGTCATGACAGTAAAATTCTAAGACATACAAATCATTGACCTGAATTGGGTCAATGATTAAATGATAAAAATAATTACTGCATCAGAGGTAAACAAATGGGAATCATATATGCCAATTTACCTAGAGTTGAGAAACATACACTCTCCTGATGCTACTGATTTTATCAACCATAATCAACTACATGGACTGAGTGTTGAGATAATTCCACAAAGGATAATTCAAGAGGTTGTTACAAAAAACATAAAAAGATATTTGAATTGAGATTGGACAGACAAACAAAAGTCCCATGCAGTCCACCCTTTACCTGACTGCCACCTCCTCACTCTATTTACCAAATTATATTTTTTAATGGCTAAATATATTACAATGGTTATAATAAAATTAAAAATGGATGACTTACATCATATATAATTTATAACAAAATCAATTAAAGATTTAAAACTATAAAATTGTTGGAAGGAAACATAGAGTAAACTCTTCATGATATTGGATTTGTTAATAACTTCTGAGATACAACACAAAAAACAAAGGCAATAAAAGAAAAATAGATAAATTGGATCTCACAAAAGTAAAAAGTTTTGTGCATCAAAGGACATTCTGAAGAGAGTGAGAGACAATGCACTGAAAGGGAGAAAATATTTGCAAATCATATATCTGATAAGGTATTAATATACAGAATATACAAAGAACTCCTACAACTCAACAACAGTCAAAAAACAAACAGCCCAATTCAAAGAATGGGGAAAGGATTTGAATAGATATTTCTCCAAAAAGATATACAAATGTCCAATAAACATATGAAAAGATGGTCAGCATTATTGGTCATCAGGGAAATGTAAATTAAAACCACAATGAGATACCACTTCGTACTCTGTAGGATGGCAAAAAACTCATAAAAAGTAATAAGCGTTTCTGAGGATATGTAGAAATTGGAACCCTGGTCCATTCATTGCAGCTATGAATGTAAAATGATGTGGCCACTATGGAAAACAGTTTAATGGTTCCTCAAAAAGCTAAACAATTACTTTTACGATCTATCAATTCCACTCCAAGGTTCATATGCAAAGGAATTGAAAGCAGGGACTCAGATACTTTTATGCCAATGTTCATTGCAGCATTATTCCCAATAGCCAAAAGGTGGAAACAACCCATGTCCATCAACAGATGAATAAATAAACAAAAGGCCCCATATACACACAATGGGAAATTATGCAGCCATAATAAGGAATGAAGTTCGGAAACATGCTACGGTAAAGATGAAGCTTGAAAATATTATGCTAAATGAAATAGGCCAGAGAAAAATGGACCAGTATTGTGTGATTCCATTTACAGAAGTACCTAGAATAGGCAAATTCATATAGGCAGAAAGTAGATTAGCAGTTATTAGGAACTGGAGTCAGGGGGAATGGGGAGTGGGGAATTATTACTTAATTTCTACAGCAATTATCAATTCAATTGATGAAAAAAATTTAGGAGTCAGTAGTGGCAATTTTTGCACAACACTGTAAGTGTAATTAATGTACTTTAAAATGGTCAAAATGACAAATTTTATGTTATATGTTTTACCACAATTGTTCTAAAAATTTAATAATGTAATATACCAAACACTATTGAATTTTGCACTTTAAATGAATGACTTGTATGATATGTGAATTATATCTCAATAAAGTTACTAAAATAAATGGATATGAGCCCTTTTCTAGGGTAAAAGATCTAAACTGTCATCTATTCCTCAACTCTACTTTTAAGCCCAGCATTTCTGTCATTTTCATCCGTATCAGTCTAAACCCAGCTCCTCATGGTCCAGCAAGCAATGTATATATGATAAAATGATTCATTCCAAACATTGCCAAAAAATAGTCCAGATTACAGAGAAACTGTCATCTGAACTCCTGGTTGGCAAAACTGGGGAGTAAAGACCACTAGCCTGTTACACGTTATAACAATTTGAAGAATTGCCAAAACTGAAAAAGTTTCTTGATTGGCCCACACGTCTGCCTCAGCTCTACTCCTGTCAGTAGTGGTGCATGGCCCTACCCAAGAGGAAAGTTGTAGAGAATTTCCAATATGTGACCATAGCTTTCCAACAAGTACAGTCTGGCAGGTTGCATATTAAAGTCTGTATATTGCCTCAAGAATGGAACAATTACAGGCATCATTTCCCACAATTGTGATTCACCTTTCCCAACTAAAAATATTGTGTGATTTAACTTTTTGTATGGCCAATTATATGAGCTATAACAAAAACTAGAAATCTCTTCCAGTAGACAGATTTGTATCCAAGAGTTTAACTTATTTGTTAGCATGTGGACATTATCCTAGAGTTCATTTAAAACAGGTTATCAGCCCCTTTCCCTAATCTGCATTCCAATGAATAGGCATTAATAGCGTATTCTTGTGCCCCTATCTCAGGTAGGAAGTTGACCATTTCACCTTTGTATGACTGCTTTGTCAGTCTCTGGCTCTTCATTAGTCCCAGTCATAACTCATGCTGTGCTTTCATCCTCTCTGACTTTGCTGGCACTAATTTTAGCTTGGAATTGAAAAGCTGGGCTATGCTGTGAAAAGAACCAGCCTCTATTAGCAACTTCAACTGGAATTTCTCAGTCCTATGGGTCATTACTAAAGGCTAAACAAAATAGCCACACATCAAGTCAACAGTCCCACTGTACAATAAGTGATTGTGTAAGAGCTGCCTCGCTTCCATCTTCCATTTGTAGCCCAATAAATACAGGGAATCATTTACAAATTACTCAGCATTGTGTTTATTTCAAATGACCAAATACAAAATCAAACAGGCTTGATCAGAGAGAAATGAAAGTAGATTGTGCTAAAACAAATAAATGAAATATCCAGTAATCTATCTGACTCCAGGAATAGCAGATCTGATGAATTCAAATGATCACAGTGGTGTGCTATTTATGAGCTTATGCATTTCTGTGTTAGTGTCACTCTGAGGTTTCATGTGGTCATCCCTAGACAACTGAATATTACTTTTGAATAATTTTAATGGGAAAATGTCACATTCATAAATATGAAATAGAGAAAGAAGAAAAGCATAAAATAAGAATTTATTAGATCAGATAAGAAGAAACTGAAAAAGGAAAGAAAAAATAAGGGAAATAAAAGAAACAATATCAGAAAATAAGCAAAACTGGATTTATTTATAGATGACATGATCCGGTATGTAGAAAATCTCAAGGAACATGCTGATGGGATTCAGGGCAGGCCCCAAGATGCTCCCCTCTGGTATGTGGATTATTTTGAGCTGAAAACAATAAAGGCTCAGACTCAGGAAGAACATTAAACCTTTCCCCGCTAACCACTTAAAAGAAATTTAAAATGAAGGGCTAGGCCCAGGACAGTCCATCACCATAGATAATTCTGGGTTTTGGTGTCCTGGGAGTCTCCTTGCTAAGCCCACTCTTATCAAAGTTCTATTTACCAAACATCTGCTTTTCCATTTCCGTGTGAGTTGCCTTCCTCCCCTTTGAAGTCCCAAATCACTACCCCAAATGTCCTCCTTGTCTGTTGCTGAAGATACTTAAACAGGCAGCCTCGGCCAGTTGGCTGAGTTACTCAGTTTCTCCTGAGTTCCTCCCATGTATACATGTTATTAAACTTTGTTTGATTTTCTCCTGCTAATGTGCCTTTTTAATCATTTGACCAGCCATGAGAACCTTAAGGAAAATGAGAGGAGGATTCTCCCACCTCCCAGACAACACACATACACACTAATAAAACTAGCAAAATAGCTTAGGAATATTGTGCAATACAAGATCAATATAAAAATCTATTGTATTTTTTATTACTAGCAGTGAAAAATACAATAAGAAATTAAAATATTTATTTATAGTAGTTTCAAAAATAATCAACTCAAAAATTGAAGATAATAAGTAAAAGACTTTTGTGCTGGAAATTACAAAATATTGCTGATAGAGTTTAAAGAAAACCTAAATAAATGGAGAGATTTTATTAGGATGACAACACTCCTTGAATTGTTCTTTAAATTCCATACAATGCCTATGAAAATCCCAGCAGGCTTTTTAACAAAAATGAACAAGACACCTCAACATTTTCATGGACAATTCAAAGCACCCAGGGCAGAGTTTCTCAACTTTGGCACTACTGGCGTTCTGACCAAGATGATTCTTCATCATGGAGTCTGCCCTGTGCATTGGAGAATTAGCAGCATCTCTGTCCTCTACCCACTAGATGGCAGTAGCATTCTCCAAATGTTCCCTGATGCCAGGGTGGTTAAATTGTTCCCACAGAGAGCAATAGACTTAAATAAAAAATATTTCAAAATAGAATTGAATAAAATTGTTTCAAATTTTTTTCAAACAATTTTGGAAAAGAAGAACAAAGTTGGAAGACTTACCCTAACAATTTCAAAGTTTTGTAGGAAGCCACAGTAATCAAAAGCTCAAAAAATTATTGCCAGAAAAGACATATAGATCCATGCAGAAGATTGATAATCCAGAAACAAATCCTTACATTTACAGCAAACTGATTTTTAACAATGGTGCCAAAATCAATCAGTGGAGGATAGGAAAGTTTTTTCAACAAATTTTGAACTGAATTGTTCATGGTTTAACAATCATGAACAAAAATTCTTGGATTTTATAATGTGTAAGTAATACAGCAAGAAATATTGCTTTTTTGTAAGGCAGAGGTAAAGATCCAGCAAATGAAAATTGATTACCCCAGTATTGGAACAAAAGTTAAGTAAAGAAACTCTTGTTCAGCTAACAAAGGAGAACGGCAAGAAATAAAGCAGAGAAAATTTGAAATTTCCTGAATTTCGCAACATACTTCACACCTTAAGATCACAGGTACACCGCTATTGCCATAGAAAAAAGTTTAACATTCATGCTAGGCACACCTCATCCATCAAGTCTCTACAGGTTTGCCCCCCCATCCCTCTCCAGCCAACACAAACACACAGAAGAACACATGCACATTCATACATGCACATCTCTCACTCAGGTATCACATAGTCTAGCCTCACATTTTTCACTCCTCAACAATAAAAAAATCAGACATAAACAAAGATTCATGTTGTTTGCTTGTAACTAAGTTTAGTGAAGAGAGGCCTTATAAATACTAGCTAATGAGAGCCTATAAAAATCTTCTCTCCTAATTTTTGCACTCTCTTTTATAAATTAACAACCATGGGAATTTCCCTTCCCATTTGCACATTGAATTATTCCTATGAGCCCTGAAATGAATGACAGAGAAGAGGCACTGAAGGGCCAAAGGAACCTTTTAACATCATCAGGAGGAAGAAAGTGCATGGACCCAGAAGGGAAGAAACGTTAAGTCTCTGTGTTTTCCCCCAAATCTTCTATGTAGGAGCTCAATCCCAAGGCTTACCTGGAGTGTGTCTATTGATGATACACACGTCTGACGCTCCAGCTCTGCGATGAGCTCTTTAATGTACTGACTCTGTTGGACCAGCTGGTCTTTAGCTGCTACCAAGTTCTCCAGCACAGTCACCTCATCTTCCTCCAGCTTTCGCAGCTCCTTCTGCTCCAAACTGTCCAGGATGCCTCTCATTTCATTAAACCCTTTCAGAATCCTCTGTCTCTCAGTCTGCATATGATTCTTTGGGAATGAAAAGAGAAAGAAACCGTCAGTTGTGTGGGCCTGGGAGCCAAGGTAAGAACCCTTTTCCTCAGGGAGTTCCAGTAATAGGAGGTGAAATCAATGAGCAATTCCTGGGAAAGCCATTTTTCCTGCTGTTTTCCCCTGAGCTCCTCCCAAACCAATATATTCTCACCTGCTCTATCAAGGTGCATTCTGAGACACAAAGTGACACCCGAAGGAGGCCTGGGTTATAGACACATGTCCTGAATGATCATGCTGCACTGTGTATTAAACCCCTCCACCCATACCTCCTGAGTAAGGAACCCTGGGCCTTTCTCAACGTGTGTTCTGGGAGCGCCAGAGCCTCAAAGTTGATGATGGAAAAGGGACATGGGATTCATGAGTTCTTTTTATATTGCTTCCTTCTATGCTTTTGCCACCAAATACATGGATTCACTTGTGATATGTCTAGTCTCCAGCCCTGAACATCCAACAAAGAAGGAATGAAATGAAGACTAATCAAACGTCTTCCACACACATTCATTCTGAGGTAATAAAGAGAAAGGAGCCTCTGTGTGATTGGACCAAAGTGCTGCCCAGCTTCCTGTCTCAGAACTCCCTCAGGAAAAAATCTCTTCCTGCCTTCCAGGTAGCTCTCTCTTCTCTGACATCAGCTTCCAACTCCTCAGCTTCCTGCTGCTCCTTCTTCAGCTTCTTTAGTGCTCCCTGGAGCTTGTCCTGTGAGAAAGGAATCATCAGAGTCAAGCTATGAGATTTCTCAGCACCCGGAGAAAGGGGGAAGAAATCACGCTCATCTCAGAGGAGAATTAAGTTTACAGAAACAAAACTAAAATTTAGAATCTAGGATGTAGACAAAAATCTTAGGAGGTGAATATACTCTTTAACCCTGGGAGATACAAGTTCATCAAGAATAGTCTCTCTTTCCCTACAATAACTGATCCTGCAGCAAGGAACGTCTTTTCCACTCATTGATACTTTTCTCATGTCCAACCAACCATGTTTCCAAAAAAACCCTTCTGCTGCGAGGGAAAGTCGGAACTTATCTTGGGACACAATTCTCCACTCATCTGACTTTTCTTTGCTGAGAGTTTGTAGTCTAGGCTTATTCTTGAAAGAAATGAATGCAAGCACAGAAATGTCCTTCAAGCCTCAGAGCTGAGCAAAGGGTATGGAAAGGTTGCAGGACTCAGTTCTATGACAACAAGGATAATAAAGTAGGATAGAAAAGTGATGGTTTCAATTTAGATAACATTCTGCCATAACTTCCTCCACCCTGGGGCCTACCTGGATTTCCATGACCGCTTTCTCCATGAAGAATATTTGGTGACCCTGGTGCTCCAGAGACGGCACACAAAGCCTGCAAATGGCCTTCGCATCATTCTTACAGAACAAATGGAGCTTTTCTCCATGGTGCTCACAGAGATCTCTCTTCTGCCACTTGTGTGGGCTCGTGTTGACCTCCCTGACTCTCTCCACTATGGTGGCCAGGTGCGGATTAGGCCGGAGGTTCCCAGGCTGGTATCTTCTCTGGCACACAGGACAGCTGCACTCTCCCCCTAGGTGGATCACTGACTCCTTGATCTTTGCAGTGATGCAGGCTTGGCAGAAGCTGTGGCCACAATCCAGGCTCAGGGGTTCTGTCAGGAGCTCCAGGCACATTGGGCAGGTCACCTCCTTCTGAAGATTTACCTGTGCTGAAAAATCCATTGCAATTCTCCCCTTGCTTCCTCTGGTCCTGACTCCTGGGGCTCTTCTTGCTCACAGTCTCCTGCAGGGCTGGGAATGTTGAAGGGGGCAGGATAAGAAAGGATGAATAGAAAGGATATTGATTGTGCAGAGATTTACAAGAAGACAAAATGTTAATATTCAACAAATAAATGAAAAGAAAGAAGAGGAGCAGATTAGTGACAGAATGAAAAGAGCTCTGTGTCATAATTTCAAACACTTTACTCTTAGTTTATGTTGCATGACAAATTTCACCCCATCAGGGCAATGATTCTTAGTTTCTCTTCTCTGACTGGAGAAAAGGACAAATCTAGGCCCTTGCTACCAAGAACCTTATACAACACATCATTTGTCTGCCTTTTCTTTTCCACCTCAAAATACACGCTCCAGGTAGATATGCTAACCCCACAGTTGCCCCTGGGCCTTTGCACATGCTCTTCTCTCTGCACAGAATTATTTTACCTCTGATATTTGCACGATTCCTTTTTAAAAACAGTTTTATTGAGTTATATTTACATCAAATGCATTTGTTTCAAGAGTACAATGAAATAATTTCTAGTCAATTTATGGAACTGTATAATTATTATCACAATCCAATTTTAGAACAATTCTATCACTTGAAAACAAAGCTAATGCCATGAGCAGTTACTCCCATTCTGAAAGTGAGACTCAGGCAACCACTAATCTCCTTTGTGTTTATATAGATTGGCATTTTCACATCAATTCACGAAAAGGAATCATAATACATGGTCTTTTGAGTCTAAATTCTTCCACTTGGCATACTGCTATTGAGATGTATCTATCCTGCCTCTCTTTCCCTATGGCAAAAACACATCCTCAGTATTAAAGGCACAAAGTGCACTGCTGCCTCAGAGAGTTTGCACTTGCTTTTTTCACAGCATGGACTGATTCTCACCTGATGTCAGCATGATTCACTCACACATTTCATTCAGTCTCCTTGTACATGTCCTCTTATCAGAAGGACCTGCTCTAACTCACCTACAGAATAACTGCCAATACTATCACTTGCTGTACATTTGCCATATGTCTCTTATTTTTATTACAAATTATATGACATCTTTCTTTAAACGTCTACATCTTCCTCCTAAAAAGTAATCCATTCACAAATCAGGCATGGTTTTGTTCACTATGTATCCTTAGTACCTGGAACAGTGCATCACACATGGGAACACAATGTTTGTTGAATATGTAAAATTAGAACTTTCTCATCTCTCCATTGATGATTAGACCTTCTTATCAGCTTATCATTTTTTCTTTTCATCAATTAGCAGTTCTCCAATAGCTGAGAAGTGTTTACCTCCACACACTTGTCCCAGACAGAGCCTTCTCCACCCTCAAACTCATTCCCCAAAGGCACCTACAGAAACTGCAAGAACCACAATAGGGAGGTAATTCTCTCATTAACAATTTTATAACAGTTACAACTTACAAATTACTTTGACCTATTTATTCCTTATATAAAAATCCTTGACAAATAAGAGTACTCCCTTTCTTCAGACGTATAAATAGAGTCAAGTGACTTACAGATCATTCTATTTATGGAGATCATTCTATTATAATATGTAGGGTTGGGGTGAACATACCATCCTCGGGATCCTCCTTCAGAGTTCTCTCCACTACTGCACAGATTTTAGCAAAGACAGAGGTAAAGATTGCAAGTACTAAAATTATACCCAATGCTATGGGCATGTAGAAATGCAGAGATCAACACCAACTGGGTGGTTCTGGGGAGTCTTGCATTTGTAGATGTTGGGATTTTACCTTGACGTGGACATAAGGCAGGGATGTTGATAACTGCTAAAGGTGTATGTTTTTAGAGGGAAAAGAAGGTTCATATACTCATAGGATCACACACATGACAGAGATCTGAAGAACATAAATTCCAATGAGGCATCCGCTGGTCACGGGAGAGAAGTCTCAATAAATAAGGGAGATCATAGAGTGGAAAGATAATGTCTATCCTGTTTCAAACATGCTAAGTGCTATTACAGGTTGACTTGTGTTCCCCAAAAAGATATTGATGTCCTAACCCCAAGTAGGTGTGAATGTAAGTTTATTTGGAGATCATGGCTTTGCAGATGATCAAGTTAAAATGAAATCATTAGGGCGGGCCTAAATTCAACACAACAATATCTTTATAAAGAGGGGAAATTTGGACACAGACAGACATGCACATGTGGAGAATCCATATGAGACAAAGGCAGAAGGCAGAGTGATACATGTGCAAATCAAGGGGCACCAAAAATTTCCAGCAAAATACCATAAGCTAGCAGAGAGACATGGAACAGATCCTTCCCATACAACCCTCAGAAGGAACCAACCCTACCTACACCTTTCATCTTGTATTTCTAGCCTGAAGAATTATGAGAAAATAAATTTTATTTAAGTTACCCATTTGTGGTGCCTTTTTATGGCAGCCCTAGAAAATAATATTAATGCTTATTTTTCCTTCATTCATTCTTTATTCTATTATTGAAGAAGCAATATACCATTGAAATTCTCCCCACCTAAGATAGAAAGACAGATACAGAAACAAAATATATGCTCCCCTTTGGAGATGGGACAATGTAGAAGTTTTTACAGTAAGGTATGGACCAACTAGGTCCTGAATTTCCATCTCACTGCTTCCCAATGGTCTGCACAGAGGCTTTCTGTATATGTACAGTTTAGACAAGAAAAATGAATGTTTCTCCCCATTGAGGACAACGTGGAGAAAAAGCTCTCTGAGGGCTTGAGCCAACATCCTTGAAACTTCTCCTGTTCCCTGAGATAGGAACTGCCAATGGGATGGTGGACCTGTTCTCGGCATCCATAGACCTGAGGAAACTCAGAAACATTGCATCTCCTCCACATTCCTCTATACTCAGAGCTCTCTCTTCCGCCACCCTTTAGATTCCAGGGTTTAATCTCCCTCACATTAATGACCCTGTCCCCAGGCACTCTGGCTCCCAGGTCAATTAGTTTCAAAGAAGTCATTTGGTAGCAGAAATCATCTTGAGAAAGCTACCCCTAGTCTTATCTCTTCTCTCACAGTCAGTTCACAGACAATAGTATAGCTCTCACTTCAAATTACAGAATCTTTCACAAAAATTCCAGGAATAGCTTCCCCACTGGTCTCCCCACAACTGTCATTGGTCTCACATAGTCTGCTCTCATCACTGTTCATACCAACAATTAGAATGATTTTTAAAATATACATCAATTTTGTCACTCCTCTGCTCCAATGAATGTCATTCAGCATGAATTCATCTTTATCATAGTCTACTTAGGTGCATATTACACATCTTTTGCTATGGCCTCATCTCTCTCAGCCCACCTCCTATTCCTCCCCAACCCACACTGGTTGCCTTTATGTTCCTTAATCACTCTGGAGAAAAATCCATGTTAAATTCATCATCTCCTTGAAGACTCTGCTCAGAATAACATTCCCACACTGAGACTTAACTTCCAATCTGTTAAAAATTGTGAAGCCCTTTCCCAGGGCTCATAGATCCTTTGCCCCATTACAGCCCTTTCAGTGTATTATTGTTGTTTCTTTGTTGTACTTTTGTACCATAGTGAGTTTCATCTTTTTGCACACTACATTACTCTTTTATGTTTGTTTACTTTTTCTCTCTTGACCCAGAATATAATCTTTTGTAAGCATTTAACTTTTATTGTGTGTTCAGTACATATGAATACAATTTTTTCACCATAGCTGTATGCTTTTGTTCTTGTGAATTTAATCAGAAATACCAAAAATTTTTAGAAATTAATTTCCTCCTATTTATTGAGCCCTGTACTAGAACTGAGTGGATAATATATACCATCTGTGAACCTTGTCCAGGTGTAAGGCACAGACTCATGACCACTGAAAAATGAGAGGAAAAGATGGTACACATCAAAACATATGTAACATAGAAATCAAGGAACAAAATGTTCAGAGGTGAGTTTAAGAGGAGGTTCTTGTTGAGAAATGACAAATTCCTTGTCTTAGCTCTGTGCGAAGAAAAATTGAGTAAGGAGTTGAAGTAATAAGCAAGGGAAAGGTGTTCACCTTCACAGGGTAGATAGTCAACACTACAGAAAATGAAAATAGTGAGGATAACAGCCTGGAGAAATAATGGTCCCTCCAAGAAACAAACATGGATCTTTGTCTTTTTAACCCTCCCCTCTTTAAAGGTCACTCCTTTCCCAGACTCAATGCTCTCCTCCTCTGCCACTTCAGCAGAAACCCTACAAGCTGGCTCTCTTTGTTAATTCAGAGTAGCTTCAGAACCACAAAGTAAACTCACCCAAACACACTCATTCTGTCCCTCCCAAAGACTGCTGCCCTTTGCCCTCACAAACTACCCTACACACCTTTAGGCGAAGAGGAGTAGTCTTGACTTGATGGAGATCAGGTGCAGGATTCACTCTCTAAGACAGAAGCCTCTTCTTGAAGAGGAATTTCCCCACAGGGTTTGGGTGAGAAAGGACAGTTAAATTTGTAGAAGAGAAAATGAAACACAAGAAGTAGAACAGAAACTTAAAAACAAGAAACGAAACCACAGAAGCAGAAAAGAAACTTAAAAGCAATAACAATGGGAGGCTCCAGGTAGGACACCAGCGGAGGGTAATGCTTCAGTATGTTCTAGAGTCTGTACCAGAAAGGCACCCAATCACTGCTTTCTTATTCGTCTCCCAGTTTAGTCCCGCAAAACATTTGAATAGGAAGAATGTGAATTACAATGATACATTATACAGCTTGCCTGAATACTCAGAATTTCAATGCAATCCTATAATTATTAGTTAAGCTTATCCTATATTCAGATCCTAAGCAAGTCATTAGGGATAAAATAATGATCCAGAAAAACTTGGCAGCACCTGACCTCTTGTAATGCAGAGTGTGATGGAAAAAATAATCAGTTATAAAGCCCTGTAAATTAGAGCTGGCACAGTGAGTATTAGTCGCTGTCACTGTGAATGGTAAAAATAAAACTAAAAAAAGTTTCTTGAGTATGAGCCTATTGAGACAATATTTTCACAACATTATTGAATCTTAGAAGTCCATCAGTTAATTATCTGTTTCTGCTCCTTATTCAGGCAGGCCAGAAGAGGAAGGCTTCCAGAGACTAATTGTGGTAAAACTGTGTCAGTGTCATGTTACCCAGCAACCAGGGGGCAGGTGAGAACATGGAGGTTAATAGATGGTGCTGTTCCAGTATAATCTTTCACTGAGCAGCACTCACACCTCCAAAAGTTGTCCACTTTTCCCTGCTTCCTTTGGGAAACATTTGGTCCTTTCTACACCATCAATCAAAAACAGAACTGAAACATTTTATATTTCCTATACGTACTCTCCTGCTCTATTATCTGTTGTGTGCTTGTTCTAACTACATGTTCCAGATGTTACAGTTACAAGATTGTGGAAGCTCCATGACATGGGTCCCTGACAGACAGAAGGGCAGAGCTCACCAATCTTCACACGTTAGCTAATGTGAAACATGTAGGGCACTGAGAAGTGGATGTTTTTCCAGTTAAAACACAGATATCTTGGTACTGTTTGTAACCCTCAGAAGAGTAAGCTAACCTTTTCTCATACACTCTTCTTGATTCACTTATATATATGAAGTAGGAACTGAAAATTATGTAGACATAATTTCTGAGCCATATTGACAGTTGCAGTTTCTTGGGTAGGAACAAAATTTGTTCTAACAATAAATCAACTCATGGTGCTTTTCAAATGCAGTGATAATCTTCCACATTTTATATAAATTGCATATTTTTCTTTATCATCTTTGTTATCACATAATACTGTCAATGAGTATCTCTAGTCATCCAGCCGTGTGCCCAACAACAGTAAGTTATCTGAAGGCAGAAAGGGACCTTTGCTATGTTGTTTCATTTTGTCTCAGCTCTATTACAAAAGGTTCTACGTAGGGAGTGATATCTAAATAGAAAGGCATGCAGTTCTATAACTGTAGATATCATTTTAACTACATTGAACACATTGATGATAATCATGGTTATATTCTATTCTTCTCCTTATAATCATCATAATTGGTATGCTACATAATGAAATTCTGCAATTAGTATTACCATTTATATTTACACGTGAACTCCCTTGACAAATTTTAACTAATAACTTCTCATATCTTCTCTGCCTTGTTCCTAAGATTGACTCAGATACCTATGCAATACCCGTTGTTTCATCTATCTACATCACCACACTCTAACCACATTACTTCCTGTGCCCTGTGGTTTTTTCAGACTGTAAACAGTAAAAAAATCGTGGCCCAACATGGGAGATCTTGCATAACTCCTCTCCAACAGGATATATAGAGACTTAAGGAAACACAGAGCCCTAAGGAGGATTTATTATTCCCTGGGCCCTCGGAACGCAATAAGCTAGAACTTAGACCTTGGTAATGTGGTTAGCTCAGGGATAGACTTTGGGTGGGGGGAGAAGGAGCACGCTTCCTTCAGGTTTCCTTTTGGCCCACATTTTCTTGTGTCCTGGCAAGCTTGATTTCCTCACTGGCTTCACTCCATCTTAAATCTAATGTCTCAGAGGAGGTTCCCAGGACATCAGTGGAACTCTCCCTGCCCTCCCATCCTCTTTTAGGCCTATGATTCCCTCCTACATTTTCCAGATGAATATTTTATAATAGCTTCTCAGACAAGCTTAAAAACATCAGGTTTTCTACATACCTGCAATTTTTAAATTATAAGTTGACCCAAGGCTTAACGGCACAAAACTGCCATATCTCAACTTATTGAAAAATAGGTACCGAGTACTGGGTCTTGAGTTTTGGAAGAAAGAGTTCTTGGAGGCTAAGGAGAAGGGATCCAGAACAGCCAGCTTGTATACCCCTACTGCCAAACAGATCTCTCTGTTCACATTCCAGAAGAACTTGTACCTCATACAAGCATCTCACAGAGAACCCATTAGTTATCTGGGTCCCAGGACATGAGGTCAGATGAGAGATTCAAAGGGAAAAAAGACTATAGGCGTGCCTTGCTTTATTTTGCTTCACAGATATTGTGTTATTTTACAAATTTAAGGTTAGTGACAACCCTGTATTAAGCAAGTTCCTCGACCCCACTTTTCCAACAGCATTTTCTTGCTTTGTGTCTCTGTGTCACATTTTGGTAATTCTCACAATATTTCAAACTTTTTCATCATTATTGTATTTGTTATGGTGATCTGTGATCAGAGATCTTTGATGTTACTATTTTCATTGGTTGAGGTGCCATGAACTGAACCCATATAAATCAGTGAGATTAATTGATAAATGTTGTGTGTGTTCTGACTGCTCCACCAATCAGCCATTCCTCCAACTTTCTCACTCTCCTCAAGCCTTCCTATTCCCTGATACACGACAATATTGAAGTTTAGCCTGTTAATATCCCTAAAATGACCTCTAAGTTTCAAGTGAAAAGAAGAGAGACACATGTCTCACTTTAAATCAAAGGCTACAAATTATTAAGCTTAGTGAGGAAGACATGTCGAAAGCTGAGACAGGTTGAAAGGTAGGCCTATTGTACCAAACAATTAGCCAGGTTGTGAATGTAAAGAAAAAGTGTTTGAAGGAAATTAAAAGTGCTACTCTGTGAACACACAAATCATAAGAAAGTGAAACAGACATTGCTGATATGGAGAAAGTTTTCGTGGTCTGGATAGAAGGTCAAACCAGCCACATTTCCTTAAGCCAAAACCTAATCCAGAGCAACGTCTTAACTCTCTTCAATTCTACAAAGGCTGAGAGAGGTGAGGAAGCTGCAGAAGAAAAGTTTGAAGCTAGCATATATTGATTCTTGAGGTTTAAGGAAAGAAGACCTCTCTATAACAAAACAACCTTATATTGGAAGAAGATGCCATCTAGACTTTCATAACTAGAGAAGAGAATTCAATGACTTGCTTCAAAGCTTTAAAGGACACTCTGACACTCTTGTTAGGAGCTAACGCAGATAGAAATTTTAAGTTGAACCAATGCTGATTTACCATTCTGAAAATCCTAGGTCCCTTAAGAATTATGCTAAATCTACTCTGCCTGTACTATATAAATGGAACAACAAATCCTGGATGACAGCACGTCTGTTTACAACATAGTTTCTTGAGTATATTAAGCCTATATATATGAGACCTACTGATCAGAAGAAAAGATTCCTTTCAAATTACTGCTTATTGACAATGCATCTGGTTACCCAAGAACGATAAGAGATGCACAAGATTACTGTTTTCATGCCTGCTAACACAACATCCATTCTACAGCCCATGGATCAAGAGGTAATTTCAATGTTCAAGCCTTGTTATTTAAGAAATATATTTTGTAAGGCTTTGGCTGCCATAGATAAGATTACTCTGATGGATCTTTGCAAAGCATATTGATGTGACAGAATTGCTGCTATCTCCTCATAAAACTTTAATGGATGAGCAGCTGATTCCTATGGATGAGCAAAGAAAGTGGTCTCTTGAGATGGAGTACATTCCAGGTGTAGATGCTGTGAAGATTGTTGAAATGACAACAAAGTGTTTAAAATATTACATAAACTGGGTTGATAAAAGGGAAACACAGTTTGAAAGGATTACACCAATTTTGAAAGAAATTCTGTTGGTGGGTAAAGTCTATCAAACAGCATCACATGCTACCGGGAAGTCATTCGTGAAAGGGAGAGTCAATCGAGGTGGCAGATTTCATTGTTGTCTCATTTTAAGAAATTGCCACAGACACATTGACATTCAGCAGCCACTGCCATACTTAGTCAGCAGCTACCAACATCAAGAAAAGACCCTCCACAAGGAAAAAGATTAGGACTTGCTGAAGGCTCAGATGATGGGTAGCATTTTTCAGCAATAAGGGATGTACATTGGTTTTTTTTAGACATAGTGCTATTACACACTTAATAGACTACAGTCTAGTGTGAACGTAACTTTTATATGCACTGGGAAAACAAAAAATTTATGTGACTTGCTTTATTGTAATATTTTCTTTATTGTGGTGGTCTGGGACCAAACCTACAAAATCTACGAGGTATGCCTATAAAAGGACAGTTATGGGATTTATGGGAGGCATGAGAAGAAGTATTAGAGAGAAGAGAGGCTCTTGGACAACGGAGCTCATCTCCTTTGGTCCTCAAAATCAATTCCCCTACCCTGCTCCTGTGCACGCCACATAAACACATTCACACATACTGAGCCCTCCACTCCCCTCCAGTTGTCAATAAGACTTACAGATCAAAAGTAGACTATACCAAATGTCACGTCTACTGTATATCTCTGCATTAAATGCCTTACTCCATAATATCCTCTTCTCCTTTATGAACTGTGAGAATGAAAAATAGGACAACCACTTTGAAAGAAACCTGGCAATTTGCTATGACATAAAATACACACTAACCTTAAAAACCAATAAATCACCTTATAGTCCTTACTCATGAGGAATGACCTGTTTGTATTTCTAGAAGGCCGGATATAGGATCCCACCAAGCCCTTCAAGAAAAAACACTGTAGAAGCAATTCTTCTCCCTT